CTTTTATTTAAATTTCTTGGTGCTGGAATAAAGTTTGCCAAGTGAATTTCCCCTTCTTCTCCAGCTCAGCATTGCCTTCATTCCATGTTTGTATGAGATTAAAATGTGATAATTAGCTATGCCGTGATCTCTTTATTGACTATATTTGGAGATGCTCGCAGATCAAACATGGTGGGAAGATGTCAAAAGAAAGTGTTGGGAGAGAATAGAAACAAGTCAGCTGAAAGGATCCAATCTTCCCACACTGTTTAAATTGAAGGGATGGTAGCAGATGGTAATGTGCAACAACATGGAACGCCTGCTTAGTAACAGAGTTTAAATCACCAATACAGAACAGACTGGAGATGACGCTTGTGCTGCAAGCTTCAATAAGTTCCCCCATTAGACACACTGTCTGCTGTGTTTGATGGCAGAGCTTTTAAACAAACAAACATGAACATGAATGGACAGAAAAACTCCATTGTTCCTTATTCCCCATCAACACTATTAATAATTACTGTATTCTTGCTACATTTAATTATTTTCTTTTATAAATTCATGTATTTTGTTGCTGCTTTTTCTTGTGCTTCTTTACTTTGGTAGGAAGGCTAATTGATTTGCTAATGGATATCAGTCAATCTTCATAAACCTTTGAATATTACAGGTAATACGTCAAAGATGAAAAAACATCTAAAGAAATGTATTTTCCAGCATGGTGAGCTTTAATGGTGGATGACTTTATTCATATTGGACCTTTAACCTGATCACTGGAGCCAATGATTGCATGTGTCAGGGAAGACCTCAACTAGTACGGAGTGAATTTGGTTCCATTATTGTGCAAGCAAACACTTTTGTAAAAGGAATTTTAAAAAATCTATTACCAAAAAAAAGAGGCTTTGAGAGAAACTTGGTGGGTTTTTAGATATGTTTTATCACGTTTTTTTTTATTTATTTTTTTTTTTTTACAGATTTTATATATTGATCTTTTTGTCAGATTTTTCTATTTCAGATTGAGTTTTATGGATTGCATTTTATTCATTTTGCATTTCAAAGGTCATGTTTTCTTCAAGACCAGTAAAAAAGCACTTGCTCTTAATGCTATTATTATTGTTGTTATTGGGATAATAATAATGCTATTATTATTATCGCTGACCAATAAAAGAGTTGCCAACATCCAGCAGACCAACAAAAATGTGTCTTTGTTCCTCATTCCAGAGGAAAACCACTCTTAGAAGTGAGGTTGAATGTGATCTGTAAAACGCAATTTGAAAAGAAAAAATGTTAAAATATAAATTCCGGGGGAAAAAAATGTAAATAACATTTGAAACAAAAAATTAAAAAAGTCAAAATGAATAAATTTTACTGAATTCCTTTGCAAATATACAACATTTTGCATATCCAAGAAAAAGGCAAAGATCACAAAACTATTTTTGATCAAAAACTTTCAAAGTTTCATTTCAGGACTGCATTTTGGTCAAATTTCCATTCTAAAATTTCCATTCCAGAAAATGTGATCTGCAGTGTGTTTGCAAATCACATTTTCTTTACTTTCGTACAAAACAAATATTGTTTATAATACTGTTGTTAATATCAGAATCAGACATACTTTAATAATCCCAGAGGGAAATTACTTGCTAACAATTGGTAATTAGAAACTTACCTTAGAGAAAAGCCCACCCAAGGAGTGAAGAGTTTATGATTTGTAAAAACCAATCTAAAAATAAAAAAAATCTTAAAACAATAAATTTCAAGAAGAACATTTAAACATAAAAATCTGTCAAATAAATGAAAAAACAATAAAACGGAAACCCCCACGCAAATTTTCTCTCAGAACCTTTTTTGATTAAGAAGTTTTAAAGAGTTTTATTCCTGGATTGCATTGTTGTTGTTTTTTCCATTTACAAAGCTTGTTTTTGCTTTTAACAATAATAGAACAAAATTAATTCCATAAATAATACCAGCAGGAGACCTAAGAAGCCTAGAACTAATGCAAAAGATATTTAAACATCTAACCAATAGAAATATATAAATCCTGCCAGATTTTCTTTGACCTATGCCTAAAAATAAAAGAGTTTCTTTTATTTGTATTCTACACTTTGGCTTGTTCTGATTTGAGAAATGCCACCAGCTGTGATTTTGGAGTCATTTACTGTCAAAAGCTTAGTTTCCATATTGTTTGATACTGCTGCAGTGCAGTAGATTTGTCTCCCAGGAGGAAAATCTTTAAAGGTTCAGGAGTAAACAAAAGGAGACAGATTTAATTGGACTCTAAGGGAAAATATCAATTCAGGCGAGCTCACCGGTAATGTGTGAAAAAACATGCTGGAAAGACTTAGTTTTCCTCATTAGGATTTAACAAGAGTTTAAAGTGACCTTCTAAGTAAAATGCAAAGAAACTGAAAATGCACCTCTAAAATTGTAAATCTATTCATAAAAAGTACATATGGTTATTCAAGCCTAATTAGTTTGTTTTTTTAGCACAAAAAAACAATGTCATATTATAACAGGGCAAATATGTGACAGTTTTGACTTGTACATGTAAGAATAATGAATTATGAATACCGTTGTTTTTTCAGTTTTTGGTACATTAATCAGAAGTGTTGCTTTCAGAGCTCACTAAAGAAGAAGAAAAAGAGAAATGGAATTCACTGCATCTAATTTCAGTTAAAAAATTAAAACACCAAAAGACAAATAACAATATTTTTTTATATATGTATTTTTCTATGAAGCTAAAATCAATGCAAAATAATCAGTGCTTTGATGTAAGCAAGGAGCAAATTATGTAAATGGATATTCAAAAATGTGAAATAAAGAAAATGAGATCTGTAGAATGCAGCTTGTAAGGGAAATTTGAACAAATAAGGTAAGAAAATATCTGTGAACTTTTTTTGAAATGATCATATTATAATATATAAGAACATAATGATCAGGTAAAAAAAACATACTGAAAAAATTTATGACTGAAATTAAAAAACTAATTTGAAAAAAGAAATCTACTAAAACTGCAACATTAAACTATAAAAAACTTTTTTTTAATATCAAGTGTTTTTTCTGGATTACAGAAATAACACTTTCCAGTAATAAAATGTATCTTTGAAACAAGAATAGAACAAAAATGTACTCCATACTTTGATGAAAGTAGATTAAAACTGAACATAAAAAAAAAAAACGTTTCAGGTACATCACTAACTTTGAAGAATCAGATGTAACAGCTTTGAAAATTCTCATCAATTGTGTTTTTTAAATGTTTACTAGAAGAATTTAACACCAGGGCAACTATACAACAGTGTGTTTGCTCATTAAAGCTACGATTCAGATAAAACTGAAACATATAAAACTGAAAACCGAAAAAAGTTTGATGCATATAAAACAAAATGTCCTTTTTTTCTATGTATTTTTGCGATTTTGTTTGAAATCACTGGGATAAAATCCACCATTCTTATTTGTGTCTAACCCCTCCTTCAAGGTCTTCTGGTATTATGGGAAAAAATGGCCACAGTAGAGCAAATTGAAGGGGTTTATGAATAAGATTAGGTTTAACTGGGATGATCGGGAGGATGAGGATTATTGGTAATTATGCAGCTATAAAGTTGCCCATATGTTGTAGTTGCTAATTTGAACAAAGTGTGAAAAAGTTTTGTGTAGAACTTTATCCGCCTTGCAGACAGAACTATGATGAACTTTGGGTGTTAGCGACCTTTGCAACTCAAGTAATAAAAAAATCTGTCCGTATCTGAATGCCAGATTATCAGAATTAATTCAGATGACTTGTCTGATATCCCTGACAAAAAAAACAAAAACAAAAAAGGCATTTAGCTTTCTTTCAAAGCCTCTATAACATTAAATCATTCCGTCAATGCCCATAATTAATTACTAACTGTTTTTTTTTTATCAAACACATACATTTATCAAAAAAAATAAATAAAAGTACCTTTAACTCTCTCGTTTGAGGTTAGAATAGTTTGGCTTCAGTAGATTAAAAGCTATGCTATGACATGAAATGAAAAAAAAAAGTAAAAAAAAAAACAAAATCTGCTTTCTTAAACCTAAAATAATGATGCAGAAGACAAAAAAAAAAAAAAACTTAGGAAACCCCATATAAGAAGAATTCAATAAATAAAAATTGCCTCTGATTGGTTGTTGGTGTGGCTGCCAGTACGTTTAAGATACTATGTCAGTCATCAGTAACAGCCCTTCTCTCCTCCAACAGACTTATGAGTATGTGACACACGCTGACAGGAAAGGAAATGAACTGGCCCCTGCTCTGGACATGAACAAACAGGAGGGGTTGTAGACAAGGGGCCAACAGGGGCCAGTACCCCTGTGAAGCCGTTTCTGGCCCCTGTTCTGAAAACATTATCAATTTCTTGTAATGATATGTGCTAACAGAGGAGACTATGAGTCATTGGTCCCTGAAAAATCTTTAACTCTACAGTTTAACAATTATTTAAAAATGAATATGGCTTCAGTCATATGAGGATGGGATCATAGTTTTCATCTTCTAGATCAGGGCTTCCCAAATGTTGGTTTAGGAGCTCTTCAGGGGTAGGGGGGTTGCAATATGTTTTTTTTTACATTAAATGTGCTGTGATCCCTGAAGTATATGGACAGCCAAAATGTTTCCAAATACATAAATGTGGATATCCAATAAATCAAATAGGTGTAATATTATTTATTTTACCAATATAGCACTTAATTGTAAAATTCAAAATTTATCAAAAATATATTTAAAAAAAATAGTTAGTGATGTACATTGAATAAAATTAAAACTTGATACAAAGTGAAATTTTAATCAAAAATGTCAAATTTCAGTGTATTATGGGGGTCTCCATTTGGTTTCAGTGGTATTTTGGGGTCATGGCTAAAACGTTTAGGAAACCCTGCTCTAGATCAAAAGCCTGCAATGTTGGCTTTGTGGCTCATTTAATATAAGTTTTCAATTTTTTTTTACACCCCTATTAAAAAAAACACTCACCCCACCCTGGCCCCCACTATAAATGTGGTCTTCTGTGAACAAAACATGGAAATCTAACAGGGTTTTTATTTTTAATGTATTTAGTTTAGACCACATGTGCAACATCACACATAAACATCAATTTAGCTTTAACAGAGAAACACTGGGACCTTTTTTTCTTATCCAAAGTGCAGCTACATAATGGATCACGGTCATAATTAAACTCTAGACAATAAAACATTACTGTCTATTTGGTGTCTCTGAATACATATTTGACTACTTTAATGAGTGGACTTTTGAGTGTAAAACCTTGGATTAGCCTACTTCAAATGAGGTCCAGTGAAGTTATAATCATTTCCTTTATCCATGGAAAGACAGATTGCACAGAGTTTTGAGATTTTTACAGAGCACTGGAAGGCTAACAACTAACCCATCAGGAGGCTGTGTTTTCGATAATATAATCGATTAAACCACATATATATTACCAAATAATATTGTGTGGACATACAACTTTGTTACCAATAATGTCACTGTTTTAGGACTTGGGACTTTAATCCCCTCAGCTAAGGTATGCCATCATTTTTCAGTGCCAAGCTTGAACATTGGAGCTAAATTAAAACAATATGTCCAAATGTCCACTCTAACCCCTAAATCCCTCAGTCACTACATTGAGCAGTGACTATATAGTGGACTTTATAGGGATAGATGGTCACTACTTTTCGCTCCCTATTGATCAAATAACTCCACCTTCGCGCAATGTGCCTGCACCATCTTTGTCATTTGTTGCTGCTACAACCAATCCCATAAAGCAATCTGGGATATATCTGCTCTTTTGGTGACCATGGATGATTACTACTTTTCAAAATGCATTGTGGGAAACTTTGAGTCGACTACTTTTTCATCCACTATACATTCGGTCACTCATTTAAAACGGTGTAACCCCACTATAATGCTATATATAGGGATTAGGGCAGACGTTCGGACACAGCCATAGAGTAAAATTGTGGCATCAAGAGGCACTTTTTTGTAGTAATACACCATCTTTCTGTATCGCTGCCAAAGACTGAATTTGTTTTTTTTTTACTTTACCCAGAAACTGTCCAAGATTCCTAAGAGGCATCCAGAACTCAATAAGAAATGGCAATAACAGCTTTTTTTTTTCTTTCTTTTTTTCTTAGCCCTCCTCTGACAGCCTATCTCAATAAAATTATGTAACTGCACGAGCTTTCTGTGTATTTAAAACGGAGAAATTTTATTAGCAGCTTCTTTTCCAATATTTCTAAGCACCAAGACAACAGCCACAGCAATCTTCCCTATGTGGAGGCGTCATAGAAAGCTGCAGTTTTGGAAACGGACCAATCTCTACCAAGGACAAATCTCCATAATTTTCAGATTTTTTTTCAGAAAGTAAAATATACTAAGCTGCTGACCTTGCTTCGCTCCAAGGATCTCTGTTCTATTCACTCAGAGTGATACAACATAGTTCTGCTTCCTGTAAGGAAACAACAATTATCACTGATAATAACTTCACAGAACCTCAATAAAACAAAGCCAGTTTGCACGTAATAAAAGTGCAGGTGGGTGATCATAAGTTTTTTTCTTCTGATACTTTAAGCTGTCACACAGGAACTGACACACGTTAACATTATTGCACTGAGCTACAGAGAGGCAAGCTGTGGAGGGGCGGTGTCATCCAGCGATGTCAGCACCCTGGACAGCTCCTCAAGCAGCCTCATTGAGAATGAATCAGTTTCACAGAGCTTTACTGTAATGATTCATTAAGACTCTGTTCACTGGGTGAACTCCGACTCATGTTGGACAAACTGGCCATTAGAGATTTGACTTTGTGAGCGTAATAGTTCCTGAGGTTAACGGACGGAACCTCTTTTAAACCATCGTCGAAGTCGCAGCTTCTCATTGCGATTTCGAGCTGCTTTTGTCTTTTGTAGAAAAGGGAAAACTTGTTGAAAATGAGCGTGATTGGAAGCACAACAACTAAGATCCCGGCCAGGATGCAGGCTGAGGCGGTTAATTTGCCCGCTATAGATACGGGCACCACATCTCCGTAGCCCACGGTGGTCATGCTGACGGTGGCCCACCACCAACAGGAGGGGATCGTGGAGAGATCCTCGCTGTCTTCTTTCTCCACCGTGTAGGCCATCACGGAGAAAAACGACACACCTACAGCCAGGTAGAGAAGCAACAGGCCTACTTCCTTGCAGCTGTTTCTGAGGGTGGCCCCCAGGGAGCGCAGCCCGGTGGAGTGTCGGGCCAACTTCAGGATGCGAAATATTCGCATGAGCCTCAGAACTTGCGCCACCCGCCCCAGGTTCGCCAGCGCGGGGGGTGCTCTCCGCCACCAGGTTGATGAGGAGCGTCAGATAAAAAGGAAGTATTGACACCAAGTCTATGACGTTGAGCGGATGATCGAAGAAGCGCAGGAGATCTGGAGCCACTACGAACCGGGCCACCAGCTCCAGAGTGAACCAGCCGATACCAAAATGCTCCACTGTCTCAAACCGTGGGTCCTCCGTGGGCTCGCCCTTGCTGTCCATAACGCTGAACTCGCTCATGCTGTTCATACACATAGTGGCAATAGAGCCCAGCACCACCAGGATGGAAAGGATGCTGATGATACGACTGGCCACAGAGTAACCGGGGTTATCCAGCATCAACCAGACGCGCCTCCGTGCGCTCCCTAACAGCTGCTTGTCAAACTTGGTGGCGTCGTTATAAAACTCCAACAGATCATCGAAGGAGGAAGTGGTGCTCCCATCATCGCTCCTGTCCTCCCAGTTCCCCCTGTCCTGGTCCATTTTCCTGCAGTGGTAGGCGCTGCTACAGCAGGAATCGATGAAGAACTCGTTGATGCCCCAGTATTCGATCTCCTGGCTGAAGGAGAAGATGCATAACTCGGCCATGACGTGAAGGCGCCCCGTGTTGTAGAAATTCAGCACATAGGGAAAGAGAGTGGGGTTCCTGTCGAAGTAAAACTCCTTCTCCGCATCGTCGTAGTCGTCGCACAGCTCCAGGATGGACTCTTTGGACTGGCACTGGAGGAGACGCGCCAGCCTGGTCTCGGGGAAACGGGAGAGCGTGTCCGACTGGAGACGCTTCTTGAAGCCGCCCACGTTGATGCGAATGCCAGCGTTGTCGTCCACCCGAGACCCACCGGCCGTGTCCCCAAGGACCTGACCTGTCATGTCTATAAAGGACGGGGGACGCACGCATACCAGGCGCGCGGCGCACAGAGATAAAAGGATGGAAGGAGGAGACAGAAAGGAGGAGAGTGAAAGACCAAATCATATTTTAAAAAAACGGACAGAAGGAGACGCACGATCACAGACAGGGAGAGAGGAGAAGTTATTTCAACTGCACACAATGAGAAATGATTAATTATTTACATTCTAGATACGAAATGAATTGCTTTCCCCTAGTCTGGTTCAATAAATAAAGAAGAGTTATTATACGGCATTTTAAACAAAGGCAGATGGAGACAACTTACTTTAACGTTTGATCAGTTCTCCGATTTCTCCATAAAAGTCCTCATTTTTAGTGATGGCTCATCGCAGTTAGAGGGCAACCTCTGGACCGACAGTAAACGAAAAGCTGCAAACATTTTCAGCTTCTATTAAAATAGGATGAGACTAAACCAGAGGAAGACGATCCGATATGAGAAAGAAATTTGCCTCCAGACAGAGAACAATATCTGCTCCTTTAAGTATCTAAAAGCCACCGAAGGCTTGCTGCAGCTGTCTGTCCTTACATCCTTCATTCATGAGGGGTTTGCAGCGCCTCCAGCTACAGGTAGGCTATATTTATTTCAGTAAATTCAAGGAAGGCAGAGGGACTGATACGCCCTGACAGTCGCCTCTGTTTGAGCAGGGGGAATTCCTCTCTGTGTTTCTCTCTTGCTCTTCTTTCTATCTGTTGCTGCGCAGCAACACGTAGCTCACTCTCTTACTCTCCTCTGCACCGCCCTCCCGATGTGATCTCAACATCATGGTGCTGAAGGCGTAGCTCAGCCTGTGTGCGCAAGGAATCACCAACCAACCCACAGCACAGAGCACCTGCAGTTGGGGAGCCCTCCAAAGGTCACAAGCGGGGGAAAAAAACGCTTTTAAAGTCTCTCTTAAAACTTTTTAGATCTTAATGAGCCCTAACTATATAAAAACAGCCCTCTTATTTACAAAAAAAAAAAATAAATAAATAAATAAAATCAGATATCTGTTGGATCTGTTTAGTTTATGCACTCTGGTCATTTTAGGCATTATTGCCCCTCATTTAACGTAGTTACTTGGTTCTCCTTATCTGTTCATTTACTCCTTTGTAACAATCAATCATCTAGCTGTCTTTAACATATTGTTTGAGGAATGTAGGAATAAAGAGCCCAGGCAGAGGGGAGTGGCAGCCATTGCATAGGGCTTGGAATCCTGATGTTGTGAGTTCAGAACCCACTCCCACAGACTGCCACTTTGGGTCTCTGAGCAAGACCCTTAACCCCTGGGTGCTGCACAGTGGCAGCCTACTGCTCCCCAAGGAGATGGGGTAAATGCAGAGAATTAATTTCTCCATTGTGAGATCATTAAACTTCCATTTATTATTTAGCATCCTCTCTGCAAAGCTCATCACACATAACAAATCAAAGAGACATATAATAGTATGTCATCTGTTTTCCAGTTCGGTAAAGCAAGCCAGCAGAATCTAACAGATACTGCATGATAGTTTAACCAGTGCTAACATGTTTTTAGCTGTTGTTCAGAAAACTATGTTAGGATTAATTTGATTAAAGGTGTATGAACCTGTTAAACAGTTCTTCTGTTAGGATAAAAAGTCCTCTTCATTATGTATGTACCCAAGATTTTGGAATTAAATAAAAGTGACGATCTTGATCTAAGAATAAAGTGTAATATTTTGATATGCCTCAGTCATGGATGTCTCAATGATGATGCGATTTGATGGGGAAGACTGGGCGTATAAAAAGTTTCTTTAATTTTGATTTGGGGCCGACTTCATGGAGATAACCAGTTGATAAGTGGTGCCATTTCTAACCCTGCTCTGTCAAAATCTGTTGTCATGTCTTATGGTTACTTAATATACATTATGAAGTGTTATATAAAGAGTTTGTCCCAAGTGATCTCTTCTCATTAAAGGATCAGGAAGAGAAAACCTAAAAAGGTGTAAACAGAGCTTTCCTTTAGACAACTTATATTTCTATAAGGTTTAAAACACTAATAAGATGTTATTTTTATGTGTTTCCTTTAATGCTCCTTACATTTAATTGCTACAAGATGACCAAAGAGCCCTTTAAATGATTCCCCTTGTGTCTGCTAGCTAATAGCTAAATTTTTCAATAAACCAAACCGTTAAAAGGGTTCCTACCTTGTTTATTCCATCAAGCACAAAAATAGAAAGTTAGCTGCATATTTCCACTCATAAAAGGGAATCTGGTCGGACAAATATGCTGATTTATATTATTCGAGACCTTCTACATAAGACAAAGGCTTTGCTCCTAGGATTTAGTCGTTGTTTCATTGAAATTTACCAATAATATCACCAAACTGAATAGTATATAAGAATAACAGAGCAAGCCTATGTAACCCGGTTACATCACCTGAAATGGCCGCACAATGACCTCTAATCCTCCTTGGAAAGGTCTGAGCCTCTAGTTTCCAATGATACTGGGGATTAGGGGCTATGATCTGGCTAAAAATGAATACCTGCTCTTGTATTACTCCCAGAGTCACATGCCAAATTTTATTTGTTTACACAGCTATATAAAAAAAAAGTATTTGTGAAAAACGATTGGCCATTTTTATAAATAGATAAACATCAGCAGGTATCAGTTGGGCCCTGTACCGGGCCTGCCTGGCTTAAGGGGTTAAGAATCAATTATCCAAATGGTTATTGATTTTTTGAATAGGGAAATCGTTTGATAAAATATTATCTAACTAAATACTGTTTTGGTAAACTTTTTGCATTATGAACTGGTACCTGTATTTTGTTTTGTTTACCTTTTCACCATTGCCAAGGAGGTTATGTTTTTAGTTGAGTTTGTGTGTTTGTCTGTCTGTTTGCACAGGATAATTCAAAAAGGTATGAACAGATTTTAATTAAAGTTTTTACCAAAGGTGTACCTCAGTCCAAGAAACGATCCATTCAATTTTGGTGATGATTCACATCATAATCAGGATGAAGGGATTTTTTAAAGGATTCTTTAACTTTATTTTCGGAACCAGCAGTTCCTCCCTAAACCAGAATGTGGCAGCAGTGATTACTGACAGCTTCAGAATTGGACAAAAAAATAAAATAAAATAAAATAAAAAAAATAAAATACAAGTATTAGACTGAAGTCAAAGACACACAGGAAAGGCGAGCTACTTGTTGCTCAAAGTCTTGATCTGGTGATCAAACAAGAAAGCAGAATGAATGAAGAAGGTGAGAACAGAACATACACCAGAGGCTGCAGACACACGCTTTGCCTTATTTATAAACTTATGAAAGGATTTTAAGGAAACTGTTACCAAAGGCGAACCTCATTCAAAGAAAAGATTCATTAACATTTGGTAATGATCCAGATCAGGTTCTAGTTTAAACTTTAGGTGTAAGTCACAATTTGGATGAAAATTTGCTGTTTGGTGGAGGTCTGTGTTCCCCAAGTACTTTTCTAGTTTGCCATGTGTACCTAGTAGTTAATTAGTTTAGTTTAGTTTGAGTCTATTGTTTTTAAAGGAAAAGTCTGGTCAGCAAGGAATAATCAATAGATCATTATTTATACTTAAAACTAATATGTTTGCAATGATTTAATGAATTTAGTGTTAATCAGTAAAAAAATAAAAACAATAATTTTCGTCGCAATCTCTGAGTCCAGGAACGGCCATTTTTGCCCAAATATCGTAACACCTCACTCCTGACATCTTCCGGCAGTAACATCACTTTGTGGTAAGGCTAGCGCCATTCTCCCGGCTTTACAACATGTTACAACTTGTACATTTTATCCACATCATTTTCAATGATAATGCTCGACCTCATGTGGCAAAAGGTTGCTGGCAGTACCTGCAGGATTATTGAGTTATTTTTGTTCCATTATTGTTGCAAGCAAAGAACATGTTTTTTCGATGAAAATTAAAGAAAAAAAAATCTAAATATGGAACTTTGAAACAAATCTTAACTAAATAGGTTTTTGGCTTTTGATGTCTTATTTGTCTACTGAAGAAAGTTGTTACCATCATGGGCTGGACCTCTCAGGTCTGCCTCTTGTTAACGACCCTGGTTGTTTCATTGGCAGGATCCCCAGGTGCATTTATAGAGAAGAGAGTGTTCTGTAAGAGAATCTCAGGATCAGGCGCGCTGGAAGCTGTTTCTAGCGAGGGGGGCTGATGGCTGGGTTGGAAAACACGTGACGTCATTATGTTGAGGGCTGTGGCTGACGTTTTTAACATAATATTGTAGGCCTACATTTGTCGCCAAAAACTGCCATTTAAAATGTATCGGAACAAAGCATGAACATTTTAAACTTTATTTCTTCTCTTTTAATCATTCAAAACAAACAACAGCTCCCAATCAACAGGATCAGGAATACTTGAATGAAACATGGCCTAAATATAGCCTAAACTGAGCATTGAACGTCTTGAAAGTCCATTCGACTATGGATATGGGGAATGATTTAATATCTGAATCAAAAAACACACACACAAAAATTTTTTTACTAATTTCCTATTTTATCACTAAATAGCTTAATACAGACATAATATTTAGTGATATGCAGCCTTATTCTAGCGTAGACTTCTTCAGCCACAGGACTAAGACGAATAGGCACATAAATAACGCTAAATGCGGCAGTATAGGGGAATTAAAACCATTTCCAACCTCAAATTAGTCAGAAATACGTTTCTGCTGCCTATTGCTAGCCATGCCTAAACGATTGTGAGGTGGCGGAAGCTTCCGGGGGAGTAGCCTATTTTTTTATGAAATATTAAAATAATGAATCATTAGTTTATATCTGATACACAGCCCATCATTTTAATCCCATATCCAACACAGTCTTTTAAAAAATAAATACATAAATAATTTCATGTTTTTAAGTACAATATTATGTTACTCCACAGCCCCCCACCATGGGGGGCTGATGCTATGACGAGGGAGGCTGAAGCCCCTGCAGCACCCCCCTTCCCGTGCCAATGTTCAGGATCTCGTCTTTGCTTTGGCTGAAAAATCAGCTGGGCTGCTGCCATCCACATCTCCATTGGCTCCACATGATGTCAGAAAAATTAGAGCTTTTTTATACTTACTGCATTTCTACCACAGGTTTGGATTTTAGCTGTAGTTCAAAGCTCTTTATTTGCGCTCTGAAATTTAATGCTAGATGTTTTGATGTCTGTTTTAGATCATCAAGCAAATAATACCCATTCAGTCTTTTATTTCTAATCAATTAGGTTACTTCATCTTTATTATTTCATCTATGTGGGATGGTGGACCAGTACTCCCAAAAAAGGAAACTGTCCTTTAGCATAATTCTTCCAAATTCATGCTTTATAGGAGGTCCGGTGTTGTTAGGTGAAAAATACTTCTCTTTTTGTATGTCATTGTAGTAAAAAGTCTCAGTTTATGTCTCTTCTAACACAAAGTGGAAATGAACCCAATCAACTAGAAAACACAGAAAGACAAGAATAAAAAGTATAACTGAAAACTCAAAAACAAAACTTAAACAGAACCAAAAAATGCAGAGTCATGGCAGTAATCAGATTTTCTAACTTCCCTTTGGTCACATGGGTGAAAATGGGTGACCCCCTTTGATATTTCAAATGGAGTCATTATTTTGGAACAGGCAAGAAAATAGTAATTATCCATTAACTATGCAAACCAGGCTGGAGCATACATCTTTTTTGAATAACTCTTCCAATTCTGATAAAAGCCCCAAAATGTGTCATATTATTAAGCACGATTGAGCAGTGAGGAGTTTCTTTGCTTTGACATGAT